GAGCCTGCTGGCTATCCCTGCATTCCACCACAGGGCGCTCAGCACCCCCAGCTTAGCATAGTGCAACAGAAGCAGAAAGTCACTTAAAAAACACCAGACACTTTAGATTTATTATTAGAAAGCCTGTGGCTCAGGTTGAGTGAAAAACAATGTATAAAAAGGGAGGTAGGAAAGGGTATGGCAGCATCCTAAAGCACTGCCTGGTAGATGAGGTGCAGGCAGGGGCCAGGACTTCGAGAGCAATGTGACCACAGTCTTCCCACTGCTGGAGGGGAATCCCTGTTGCCATGAGTCCACGGTGCCAGAGTGGCAGCTGCACGGGGTTGAATAACCCCAGGAGGGCTCCAGTCAAAGCAGGAGGGCAAGGCTGGCTCCTGGTCACATCCAGGACCATAGTGGCCACATCCAGGCACAACTCCCACAGGGGAGCCAGTGGAAGGGAAGAGTGGGAGACCATTGCAGTGCCATGTACTGGGCTCACAGCAGCATGGGGACACCATCCCCACACCATGGGCAGGACTCACCACAGCACGGGCCTCTGGTGGTCTCACAGGTGGAAGGTGCCGTCACGGGGCAGTCGGTGCCCGGAGGAAGGCATGGAGGGAGAGCTGCGTTCCGAGACCGTTGCTGCCTGCTGCCTGTGCTTTTGCCCCCCGCTTCCGCTTGGAGCCCTGCAGGGGACATGCAGCAGGGCTAAACCAAACCCAAGGCCCCCACAGCCTCCAAGGATCCCCTCTGGTGCAAGAAACCCCTGGTACTGGGGACATCCAGGGGCAATGCCAGCCAGGCAAGTCCCGCTGCCACAGGCTGGGGATGCTCCTTGGCCTGACCCCAAACGCCATGGGGGCTCCAGCCTGGCACACCAGGAGCTGTCCCACAGCAACAGGGAGCAGCTCCTGGGGCACCAGCACCCTGGAGCACTGCTCACCTTGCCAGGGCTGATCTTCCCACGCTGCTTCTCACGCGCTTTCAGCACCTGAAGGAAGCACAGGGGAGCTCAGAGCTGAACAGCAGCTGGGTCCTGGAGCTGGGACAGCCCACAGAATTTGAGGGGATGCCAGAGGCTCTCCCAGGAAGACTGAAAGAAGGCAGGAAAGGCCCAGGTGTCCCTCAGTACCTTCTTCATAGCTGTGGACACAGCTGAGGCATGGAACTCCTCCTCCGTCACCCAGCGGGATGGGGACAAGCCAGGTTCCAGGGTCACATCCCCATCCAGGGGCAGGGAGTAGACCACATATGTCTGGTGGATGTGAGAGAAGATGTGGATAACCTGTGAGGGGATGGGAAAACACATGAAATGGGCAGCTGGCAGGCAGCAGGGGACGCACCACTTAGCTGTCCCATAAGTGTACAGAGTCTGTCAGGGCTCTATGGAGTGGGGCAGAGCTTGGGCATGGTGAAAGCAGGGAAGGGGAGCCCTTTTTCCCTGTACTACATCCCCCATGGATGAGCACAGGGGCTCACCCTGTATCCCTCCAGCTCCAGGCTTACCTCTCCCATGAGCCGCAGGCCTTTGGCTGCCATGGGCTGCCCCATCCAGGCCTGGAGGTGAGCTGCCAGTGCCTCCCTCTCCTTCTCCTCCTGCAGATCTTGATCCAGTGGGAGACTTGGGAACTCCCAGAGCCCAGCCAGGAGACCTGCAGAAGAGACATGACAGATGGCAAGAGGCACATTTGGGCACTCTGAGCCTCATTAATGGCCCCAAGAGGCTTCTTTCCCCACCTCAGCAGCAAGTTCATCACCAGTGCATCCCTCTCCCAGGCTGATCTGTCCTTCATACAGGTGGGAACAGGCCATGTGGTGCCTCTGTCCCACTCCTGCCCAGCCTCATTACCTGAGCTGGGTCTCTGCACGATGAGATACTCTGGGGCCCCATGGCAGCCCCTCCGCTCCAGCACACATGTGGCTGTTCGCACCACCCGCGGTTGCTTCTTCGCTGCTTTCCGGGGGAAGTTGGTCACCCCCAGGCTGCTGTCCCATGGCTCCGTGGCTGGGGGACACAGGGGGCAATCCCCAACACCTGCAAAGACCAATATAACAGTTGCTGCAGGGCCCAGACCCAGAGCTACAATGGGGATCTCCCCATGTGCTTACCACATTCCTCAACATCAGGCACTGGGGCAGGTTTTCCAAACAGCTTCTGAGAGGCAAAGGCCAGCTCCTTCTCCACCTGCAAGGAGGGGACAGAAATGAGGACAGGCTCAGCCTCATCCACCAGGCCACCTTGTTCCTGTGCATGGCAACCTCTTAGGGTTCCAGGGTCATACTTACCCTGCGCTGTGCTTGGCAGTGCTGCTTCACAGGGCACTCCCCACACAGTGGGGCCTTGGGCACACACACAGTTGCCCCCAGCTCCATCAGGGCTTGGTTAAAATCCCCTGGACGGCTCCTGTCCACCAGGACATTGGCCATTTCCCTGGAGAAATGGCAATGAGAGGCACAGGGCTCTGTGGGGAGAGCATCCCAGGACCTTTGCCTGCCTCCTGCCTGCAACAGGCGATGCTCCTAAGTAGGCACAGGCAACACGGCTCCTTTCTCCCAGCAGCACCAACTTCCCAAGAGCTCCTGTACCCAACACCTCTCTCCCTTCACAGGCTCAGCTCCCCATGGCTTCTGAGTGATCCTGTCCTTGGCCATGATCACTGCAGCTTCAGAGACAAAACACTCCCCTTACCAGAGCCGATCGATGACAGCAGGACTGCTGGAATCAGCACCGATGCATCGCAGGCGGCACAGAACCCGGATCACATTCCCATCCACCACGCCAGTAGCCTGGGACCAGGAGCCAGGATTACCATGCTGGGATGTGCTCCCAGCAAGGTAGGGAGTTGGGGTGCTCCCAGGATGGAGTGGGACACATGAGAGGTGAATCCACAGGCCAAGCTGGGTGGTATGCGAGATGCATCCCAAATAGGAGGGAGAGCTGGAGCCAAGCACAGTGCTGGGAAGCCCCTGGTTTGAGACCCAGCAGCAGGACCCTGCCAGGAGTGGGGCTTGGTTGGCAGAGAGGGGAGATGTGTCCGCTGATGGCCAGGTCTCACCTGCCCATATGAAATGGATGCGATGGCTCCTGCCGTGTATCGACCCACTCCTGGCAGCAGCTTCTGCAGGTCCTCAGCCGTCCGGGGCATCTGGCCAGCCAGCTCAGACACCACCTGGCAGAGAAGGGGCTGAGGTCAGGGAAGCAGCTGGGGTGGGTGCATGGCCATTTTACCCACAGAAAGATGGGATCACAGCCTCTACAGCCTTCTGCCAGCAGCACACAGCCCCAGCGAGGCAGGGCAGATGTGAGCCAGCACCAACCCACCAGTCACAGAGGGTTTTGGAAATGCCCACCCACCCCAGCACCAGGGCACCTTCCTTGCTGCCTCCTGCAGACGCTTCCCTCGTGAGTAGTAGCCAAGTCCAGCCCACAGCTCGTTCACCTCCTGCTCCAGGAGACACAGCACAGTGTTAATGGAGAACCACGAGGGCAGGGAGAGCACCTGGTCCCAGCAATGCTCACCTCCAGGGACGCCTGCGCCAGAGCCTGCAGTGTCGGCCATTTCTGCCATACAGAGGAAGAGGGAACAAGTCAGGGACAAGCAGAACTCTGCTCTGCAGCTGGGGATCTGCCACAGGCAGTGGATAAGGTTTCCAAAAGGGGCAGCATGTGGGCACAGTACTCTGTAAGAAGCAGTCACCTGCATCCAGCGGTTGTAGTAGTCAATCACTGTAGCCACCTGCGTCTGCTGGAGCATGATCTCGGACACCCAGACTGCAGGGAGCAGGGCAGGGATCAGAACAGAGGCACCAACACCACCCACACTTCATGCTGTGGCCATGTTAGCACTGGCTACAAGCACTGCACAGCGTCCAGCTCATGGGACCCCTGTCCCACCTCTCGCCTTCCCCACGTGCTGCCCTACAGGAGTTCCCCCAGGCCCGAGATAGGCTCTCTAACCCCTCAGTGCCTTGTAAAGGGAATCAGTGGCTCTCATGGCAACTGAAGTCACATTTCCTCACAATGCCACACTGCATATCCATGTCAGGAGCAACATGCAGGGTGGCACCCCACACACACTGGGAGCTCCTCACCTGCATATGCTCGTCTGTCAGCATCTAGCTCTGTCACTGCCTGAAAGGAGAAAACAATGACGTGTGAGAAATGAGGTGACACAGGACCCCACTGCAGAGGGGACTTGTGTGTAAAAAAGTGACTCTTGGTGTGTTTTGAATGCTGCAAT